GGATCGGGGATCGGGGATCGGGGCCGGGAGGAAGCCGATGTGTCCAAGTGCTCAAGCAATGGGGGGCGCGCGGCAGGGCGGCGGGTGATGGGCGGATGCGCAGGCGTATCGGCGTTGTGAGCTGCTTACAAAAACAAACGTTCAGTGCTTCTCAAGCTCGAAAATTTACTCGGTATTGTCAAGCTCTTCTTTGCGCGCAGAGGTGCCCCACCCCGGAGGGCAGAGCCAATCATAGCGCCAGGTTTAAAAACTTTCATCGCCATCGGGCATGACACCACGCTCAGGATTACTTATTCATCAATAATCAGATCATCTGCTGCGTCAGTTAAAGAGAGGCTCATCGCTTGTTACCGCCCGGGCCTGTGCTAGCATGAGGAGAATCGGATTACTATGTGTGAGAGACAAAAGCAGACCCGAGGCTTTAGTAGCGTAAGTACATAAGGCATGTCCGACGTACCATGCCAAGTCAAGGGGAAGATACACAGCAAAACGCAAGTGGCTAGGCAAATGCAAGGAAACCACCAGACAGACACCATGTGTAATTGGAAAAAGGGAAAACAAAATGAGATGTAGCGTAAACAAGCGTGGATGTCAAAAAGAAACGAGAACGAGGGGATATTCGGAGCAAAGAAAAACACATCTATAAATGCCTGCAACATGATGAATTCCACCGCTCCCCTGCTCTCAGATATATCGAAGACGACGCGCTGTGAACAGGCAGGTAGCACTAAAGAACAAAAGGCCGCCAAGAATGCAGAAGAAGGGGGTAAGGGACTCGGACAGCTCTTGGAAAGGAACGTGGACGTTCATGCCGAAAAGGCCGGTAACCACGTTGAGCGGAACAATGATGGAGGCCAGGAACGTGATCTTGGTGAGGGTGTTGTTGGTCCTTGTGCCCTGTGTGATGCTGTCGATGGAGAGCTGGGCCAGATAGTTGCTGTGAGATCGCGAAAGCATCTTTTCGAAATGGCCCAGGTTCGTCATCATGGTCACGACGTGATCCTGGATGTCTCCGAGGTAAAGACCAATGTCCATGCGCGGCGTCACCTTGTAGTTTTCGTTGCAGCGCTTGGTGAAGCCCTTCAGGACATCGGCCTTGCCCCCCAGTAATCTCATCAAGGCCATTGTGTTTTTCCGAATGATGCCAATCTTCCGAAGGAATATTTGCATGTCATCGGTGCGGGCGATGAAGACCTCGTCCTCGATCAACTCGGTATCGTGCTCCAGCCTCCGGATTATGGGAGCGAAACAGTCAACAATGTCGTCGCTGTGTAGAGTGGGCATGGTCAGAACACGGTCTCAAGCGGGCCTCTTTGGGGCTCATCAGTTGCGTCGGGCTACTCACATCAAGGCATAGCAAATCCAGTCGCTACTCAGGGCGACGTAGTCCTTGAGCGCAGAGATGCGCCTGCTCACGCGAGAGGCATGAGAGTTGGTCTGGGAGCTGAAGCTCAGAGTGCCCTCACGGAAGACGATGACATAGATGTAGAAGGGCTCGAACTCGGTGTCTCCGTGCTCATCCTGTACCACATTGAAGGAGCGGAAGCAAGCAAAGTAGTAAGACGGAAACAGCTCGATCTTCTCTCGTGTTTCTTGTGTCGTGATGTCTTCGACCGTGAGGGGGTGGATGCCGAACGCCCTGCAGATCCCGCGCACCTCCTCGTCCGTGGGGTTGCTGACGTTGAGCCACCAAACACCGTCCGTCTCGCCCTTGGGGAACGTAAAGAGGCCACGGATGTCCTCGCCAGGGAGCACAAGGTCCCCAAAGTACGGGGCGTGGATTGTCGACTCCCATGCCGAGGAGAAAAAGTTGAAGCGGTTGGCGGGTGCCGCGGGCTTGACGGGCTCCTTGACATCCTCGGTCACCTCCTCCTTCTCGTCGGTCGAGGTCGGAATGCCGACGAAATCCCCACCAGAAGTCACCATTGGTGAGGCGGCGACGACAGAAGAGGGACGCAGATCAGTGAAGATTTTGAGAGAAGGACGAAGCTCGGCCGCGGCTTGGGCTTGGGCTTCGTCCTCGGCGGCGATGAAGCTCTCGAGGAAATCAAAGTCGATATGCAGTCGGTCTCCGGCGTGATCGTCCTGCACAGGAAAGCAAACATCCTCCTCCGCAGACTTGGTTGTCTTCAAGCTCGCTGTCTCATCCGCCTCAGCGGCCGTGTGGGGGCGGCTTCGGAGGCTTTGACGACTGGCGGAAGAAACGGTGCGGAGGAGCTCGTTTTCATCCCTCCTCTCTGCTTGACGAGACTCGGAGATGGACATGCCCCTCTCCCGCCTGCGAGCCTCGGCAAATGCCTTGACTGAGTTGGGAGGGGACACGGACCTATCCGACGTCACGGTCGGGCGCCGCGTTCGGTGCGCCGTGGGCGAAACATCAGCCCCATCTTCATCAACAACAGCCTCCTCAAAGTCACGAACTCGGATGACAGGAGAGATTGTGGTGGTGGCTTGGCTAGTGTCGAGCTCGAGGTTGCGCGCTCCGTACAGCGAGTCAAAGGTGCCTCGGCGCGGGCGATCAGAGCGATGAGTCGTGGCGCTCTGGTGGCGATGGTCGTCGAGCTCTGGCACTGGGGTAGAATAGCCCGAGTTGAGCGTGGTGTCTTCGTGGTCGGACATCTTGGCTCTGTCGCAAATGCGCCTCTCTGTGGCTGGCTGGGCTAATCGTCGGCCGGATATATAGGACCAAATCGGATCTAGTCGCTGGGATCGTAGAGCCCGGTGTCTTGGCCTTGGGGCTGGATCGGAAGCTGTCGAAGGGGGGAGCTGGTCTTACAACCGGTTCTACGCTGCGCTTCGCATACTGGACGCTGTGACTGCTTAGGGGACAACCATGAGCGGACGGCAGCGGGCGGCGAGATGCCGTCCGCAGCGGAGGGTATCGGAGCGTGAAGCCAGCGTGATGGTGCCTCAGACTTCGGAGACGTTGGCGAGGCGCAACGGCTCGGGCAAGGCGCGGCTGCCAAGTGATCGAGATTGAGAGGAGTGGCGTGGGATCGTCTGGCCTGCTTCCAGTTAGGGAGGCTTCCGGTTCACTCCGCTGTAGGCCCAGAACTTGGGGCTAAGGAGTGAAGTGGAGAGAGAAGGCCGAGGCGCAGTAGTGACCGCCAACTTGACGACTGTATCGAGACGAGCTTGGATCGTGCTGAGGACCCGGTCTAGGGGGCACACGGCGCACCGAGCCAATGGTTGACGGCCTAGGCTCGATGTGATTGCCGGTATCGAGGGTAGGGGAGGGCGACGGGCCTCAAAGGGAGTGGGCGGCGGGAGCGCTGGTCAGCAGATGGGATCTGCTCAAGAATTGGCCGGTCGAAGTAGGTTGGGACGAAGGTAAGGGGAAGTAGGTTCTTAGGCGGCTGGCTTGGCGGAGGCTGAAGAGACAGAACAAGGAAACAAAACACGAGGGAAAAATCCGACGATAAGGGCTCCGCGCAATTGCGACAGTAGTTATCTCCACTCGTCTTTGCGTGCAGATGCAACCGTTGGGAAACCCGCAGGCAAAGCACAAAACGGCTTGGCGACAACAGAGACTGGAGTCTGAAATATGGTGCAAGGTCAGGAAATGGCGCTCGAGGACGGATGAGAAAGGGGCCTTGTTCAAGAGTGGAATTTTGTTGATTGCATCAGGGGCCGTGGGTGGAAGGGTTTGGCTGAGGTGGGACGAATCACTCCTTTATAAGAGCAACGTGAGATGCGCGTGGTGCGGCAATAAAACGACCAGCAAACGGGCCAAGGAAAGGCCCAGGCCAGCCGGCCAACCCGCAGAAAATAATGTCTGCACGCATTTGCCTGCCACTCAGTGCGCTCCTGCCCGTCATGTGGGCCAGCCAGGCGGGCGTTTTCTCCACATTCCACATGCCCGCTGATGTTTACCCACAGACGGCTGCACCAGCCCGCGCTGCAGCGAGCGAGGATATAATCAACGCGCGACATCCGACACATGGCCTAGCACCGTATGAAACAAATAAATGATCCTCACAAAATCGCCTATAGCCACCAAAAACGTGAAACAACCACAACCCCTCCCCATTTTCAATAATTTAGCATTACAACACGACGGCGAAAAAAAAGAAGAGAAAAAGGTCGGGTTAAAAAAGGGAATATATTGTTTTAACCTTCAATTTCCTTTATTTGATTTTTTTTTTACATTTATTTTACTTCGCGTGGTTGCTGAAAACGCTCAAATTCGCAGTCCCTTTTTTGAGGATATTTTTTTTTTTTCATACGATACCTGGGTGCGGTGAGCGAACTGCTCTCGAAGCTTGTTCCACTGCTGGCATGCACTTGAGCGATGCCTCGGATATCCACAGCCGTTGTACCCTATAGGATTGCGCGTCCCTCGCAAAGTTTGACCCGACCACCACCCCCGTCGCCCTCGTCTGGTGAGGATTCTCCTGATAACGATGGTTAGCGGCAACCGGGCCGGTGGGAGCCACAAAGCATCAGCTCCAGGGATGTCCTCGAGACGGATGATTGCCAGGTAGTTCTTTGGTAAACAATGCCACTCATTGCGGTCAAGAAAATGCAAACCATAGGTTCGGGAGCTGCCCCATGTCTGCCCTTCCTTGATAAGAGCCGCACCTGTCGTGTCGATGATCCCGCCGAGAGGTCGCCTCAAGTGCCCAAGGCTCGTCCAACACCAACATATCCATTGCGCACCCAGCGAAACAGTGGAAAGGCACCCACGGCGCTCCTAGGCGAATGCACGAAGAGCAGCGTCACGATGACTAGGTATTGGGTAGAATATCTGGGACAGCATACCTACACTTACCTGATCTTAGGTAAGGATATGGTGCACTTCCCATCGTCTGTGCATTTTCCTTTTTCCTCATCCGTCTTGCTCATATCTCTTCCCCGCTCTCGAGTGAGGATACCCTGATCTGACAACGCTTCCCTTGACTTCATATGAAGTGTGCATATCGTGACTCTTTTCATTGACCGTTCGGCGTGGAATTCCCTCGTACTGCCCGCACCACTGCCCCCTGCTCCCTTGCTGTGGGGCGGGTACCTCGGCCCGCAAATTTCGGCATTGAGCTACTTCAGCTTTACCCGGCACGAGTTTGTCGCCCCAGGAGCAGCCCCACACTGGAATTCGACTCCTGGAGAAGCCACGTCGGAGCGGAGGGCGCTGACGCCAAAGTCGTGAGAATTGACAGCCGGGCCTGGATCCGGCAAGCATCACCAACTAAATTGACCCGACCAAGCGAACAACCTCGACAAATTGCTACCCATTGCTCTCTCCCCCACTCGGCACTATGGCGGAACAGCTTTTGGACCAGGTCCGCGATCTCGCCGAGGGCCAGATTGTATGCATCTCCAGAGGCTGTCAGCAGAAGAATCCAAGATCGCACGCTGACGATGCTGTCGCTACAATTAGGACTTTGAGGGGCAGAAGCTGGCCGACACTCTCGCGACGGTCATGTTGAGCGTCGCTGGGGTACGTGGCTGCCGCATTTCCACCTCTTCCCTTTGTCTACACGTTTTTAACGTCAAAACTAATGCAATGGACGGATGACACTAGGCCCTCTCTCTCTTGATCGGATACTTCCTCCAGGACATCAAGCTCGCCGTCTATATCGGTCTCGGAGGAACCGCCCTGACCTTCGTCGTCGTCGTGCCCCCGTGGCCCTTTTTCAACCGCCACCCTGTCAAATGGCTCCCTATTGGCGGAGGATCGACATCAGTGGCAACACCACAGAACATCGTCATAGATGAGAAGGCACTGCTGAGGTGAGATGCCGATAGTGTTGGACATTGCTTGGAAGGTGACTTCTCGAGCAACGGCACTGGAACGCGGACAAGGTGTTCTTGGTATCTTTGGTATTGCTTCCCGAGAGCATGACAAATGAATCTATCTATCATGACGCATGTGCGGGGAAAGCATAGTGCTCTGTTTCAGAGTACTGCCCGCCCCCTTCTGGGCCTTCCGGTGTTCTCGGCCGAATTATACCGGCATTTGGTAGCCTAGTATCCTCCTGAAGGGCTGGGCGAGCTGTTCGTCGCAGGAAGTGCCCTCCACGGTCGGCAAAGGGACCCCGTAATAGAAAGCATCGTCGGTCGATGTTCTGTCTTCAGCGTCCGTACTTCTGGAACTCCCAGTCGCGGTTGTCTAGCGGGCAGACTTGTCGGGCCTTGAGCCATCTCGATATGCAGTGGAAGTGAAAGGCGTGCTTGAGGGCTGTCAGTTTAGGCTTTGGAAAATGACGGGGAGGGCGGAGGTCTCGGGATGTGGGCATTCAAGGGGCACGTACGTTGCAGATTCCCCAAGCTACAGTACACTCCTCGCTGGCGGCAGAGGCCTGGTTCGCCTGACACTCGATGCCTGGCCCGCTGGTCAGTACCGCACGCCATATAATCACAAATTCGAAGGGAGGACATACACAGGTCCATGATGTGGTTTCTGCAGATGGCACAGTTGTCGACGACGATGTCCCAAGCCCAAAGAGCAACGGCATTCCACTATGTACCCGGTTAGTCCGGAGTCCAGTTGCTTTTGTGTCGAGGATGCCGAGATAGATGCTTGGAGGAGAGGGGATGGGGGGGGGGGGGTGGGCCGGCCGGCTACCTTCTTGACCTCGAAGCGCTTCTTTCCCTCAGCGCCCTTTGTGTCGGTGGCGGCGGCCTTCTTTTTTGTCACGGCGCCGGCGCCCGGCGCATCTGTCATGTCGACGTCGGCCATCGTTGATATCGGATCGAGGCTGGGCGCTCTGGAGTCGGAGCTGAGGTGCGGCGAGAGAACTCGGAGGTGTCGTCTGCCCTTGCAAGAATCGTATTGAGGCTGAGGCGGCGGAAAGGTGTGGGGTAAGCTGTTTGCTGCTTAAAGAGGTGCCTGGAACATCCCATGTTGGGCAGGCAATCCCTTGGCTAGCCTATCAGCTGTGGGACAAGGCCGGCAGAGTGGGGTTGTGGCTTGGGTTGTGCAGCGCATCTGAGCAGGCAAGCACGTTTCTTGCACGAGCGGTCTGGATCTTGATCTCGAGGGATCTTATCTACATCGCGCTCCTAGGTTGCCGAGAGCAGATCAACCTTGTGATTCTGGATTAAAAGGCTCAAGCCTAAGCGGCCCACGGGTAGGATTGTAAAAAGGATGCCGTCGGTTATGGCCGTCATTGGAGATGAGGGGACTTTGTGCCGGCGAACGTTGGCAAAGCGGATAGCGAGCACGTTCCCCAAGCAAAAGAATGCACCCCTTTAGAGTATAGTAAACAGGACAGGCAACCGACAGTATACATCCGACCTGGCAGTTTTTTTTCTGGGGGTGTTGTGGCTGGCAATGACAACATGGGCCGGTCAGGCTCGATCACAAGAGCCTGGCCCAATCCCGAGCGCTCTCTCGACAAGCAGATAAACAAACATGATTACCCGCCCAGCCAATACACGATAAAATATAGAGACAGTGGGGTATAACAGTAAGCAATCGGGTGGCGGAAGTTGGCGAAGCCCAAGATTGCACCCCAAACCCACCACGAGTCATTGGCGCTTATGCCTTTTTTTGTCCCAATGGCTGAAGCCGGCAATGGCCAAGCCAAGATGTGCGCGTGGGGACGCGCTTTGTGAAGGGAGGTTGGGTGCTCCAGGCGGTTGCCGCTGCCACTTGTCGCTGCCATTGCCGCTGTCGTAATCATCGTAGGCTGTCGGGCCTTGGTGGCCAATCCGTCTGTGCCTTGGTAAGCTGGGGCCCAATTGAATTTCCCGCAAGCGGTGCCGCAATCCCTGCTGGGATGCCCGCAACCACCCATCGTCATCTCCCTTTCCCCTCACTCCGACCTCGTCTGCCCACTTTCTTTGTTTCGCACCACCACCCTCGCCCTGCCCTCGCAACCGCCTGCTGCTTTTAGATGACACGCCGAGTACGCCGCAGGTCCTGGCTAGAGGAGAACCACGACAAAACAAAAAATAAAACCAAAAAATAAAACCAAGCGAGCGCGACATCGATAGGCCTGGTATCAATACCGAGCATCTCTAGTGCTGTGCAGGACGTTTGTTTTGGTGGCCTCGGCTGTGCCGCATCCGATCGGTTGCTGCCCGCCGCTCCATTCTCAGCCCTCCGCTGCACGCTTGCGCCACCCAGCGCCCTTTGTCGCCCCACAGCCCCAGGCCGCCCGTCGCATTTGTTCCCGCTCCAGCGTACGTCGTCGCCGCCCAACCGCCTCCAGTCATCCTTCATTCTTCCCAACTTCATTCTCTGGCCTGGCGCTTATATTTCCCACGACCTGTTCGTGCGCCAAACCCCCCTCTCCTCTCCTCTCACCAGGCACTTACTTGCCTTTCCCATGCCATCTCTCTAGCACATCTCTCTCTCTCCCACACACATACACACACACAATGCAACAACAAAACACAAACAACGCGAGTACCGGTCGGAAGCAGACCCCGGGGAGGCGTCGTCAGAGCCGCAACACGGCAAATTCACCCGCTGTTCCATCACACCAGCGGAACTACGCCTCGGAAAATGATGCGGCCGACCTGTCCAGAGCGGATGCCGCGTTCCGCAAGGAAATGTCCGATAGTCCCAGGACTCCCCGCAAGTCGAGTCCGTCGGCGCCGCACCCCAGCACCAACGCCAAGTCTCGCACCGGCAACAAACAGCGCTCCAAGAATGCTACAACATCGCCTATCCCCGTGAACTCAGGAAGGCACACTCCTCCGCCAACCATTTCCATGTCGGCAAAGGCGCCTTCAATCGCTGCCTTCGCTGGCGCAACGTTCCACGCCTCCCCCGCTCCCTCTTCGCTCCCGATCCCCAGCTTCATGGCCAAGGCGATGCCCGACTCTCCCGGCGCCGCTGGCTCCAAGAGACCGGCCAGCCAGGAGCCATCTCCGCCGACAACCGACTCTGAAATGCCAACCCCGGCTCCCAAATCGAATGCCGTCGGCCCATCACCCAAGGAGTCGCCGCTCGACATCTTCTTCCGCGCCGACAGGGCCGAGAAGGAACAGGCGAGGCGTGCAAGCTCGACAAACGTCCCTGCACCGATCTTTGGACATTTCTCTCCTCCCTCTCAACCTCTTTCACCGTTGAGGGCCGGTCCGTCTGCTGCCAAGGATCGTCCTTTCCAGCAAGGACGGCCACAAGTCCAGCGCAACACATCGATTGGAAGCTCTCCAGTTGATGCAGGGGGCGCACCTACCAATGGAATGGGGCCGGCCTTCTCCACTCCATACTACGAGCGCATCAAGGCCGCGCGATCGACCGACAAACAATCCCGGGGCGGTCCGGAGATCACCCCAAAGCAGCAGCAGTCCGTCGTTGACCGCAGCGAGGCCCTGAAGAACTTCTTGTTTGCCGGCCAGAAGCAGCCTTCGCCAGCGATGACCAACTCCACCGCCGGGGCCTCGTTGCTGCCCGCTGGAGCTCGCCCACCAAGGTCACACACCCAGAACATGTATGGTGCGCCCTATCTGCACGACACCAACGACCGCCGCTCGGCCAACCTGCGGGCATTCGAGGACGACCTCCGCCGGATGCTCAAGCTCGACTCACCGCTCGGCCTCGCAACAAAGCCGCCAGCTCTCACCAATGCCCACACCTCCTAGTCGCTTCTACTACTCCTTGTTCCCATTCCATGGCGTCGCCGTATTTGCGGCCGGCAACTTGCTGCATAGCGGGCTTTTTTTAAACCAGTCCGCTCGACGAACTTCGAGCCCACCACATCTCGGTCTAGTTGGCCGAGAAACCGCTCATTGGCTTACTGTACAGGAGTGCTACTCCTGTGTTTTCCTTTGTTCTTCATACTCAATATGTCATGTTATCCTATGGCGTTCGGGAGGCCGACTGGACCTTCGGCTGTCGGCGATCTGGCGCACATCAGCCGGGGCGGGATTGAACGGTCGGGTTTATATATCACGGCGATCGGGATATGGTGTCTCTTCATGGGATTTTGGAGTCAAACGGACGGTGTGGAACCGAAGGACCACACAGTTGTTATGGATCATGGATCACATGATTTTTGAAGACATCAGGCCTGTCAGGCGGACATGGCTCTACTTTCTACCTACCCTCCCTATTTCTCTTTCTGCAGTCACTGTTTTCCTTTACTTCAGCTACGCCTTCTTTTGCGCATTTTCTCTTTCTTTACAAAGCCTTGTTCTTTGGGACGATGTAATTTTGGACGGCCGGTTCGATTTCACCAACATCTGGTATGGCATGATAGGGGTGTTATTGCGACGCAGCGGGGCTGATATTCTTTTTCGATGATACCCATCGCCGCTTTGGGGCTTTCATCCAGGGAGGTCAGTATCAGGCCTGATTTTGTTTTCATTCTCTTTCCTTGTTGGCGTCGCTTGACGGCATGGATCTGGTTCCTGGGGGTGTTGGGGATGCTGAGACACGATGCATTGTTATTGGCAGCTGGTGACACATCTCGCCATCATATCAACGGATGATGGTTCGAGATGTGTGATTTGGAGTTGACCGCGGGCTGCATCAGCGGCTTTGGCCGCCCTTTGGTTGGCCCCTATCATCAAAGAAAGGGAATGACAGGAGATGGAACGACAAGAAAGAACAAAACGAAGAAGAAAAAAAACGAGGAAAACCCCAAACTAAAGCACAAAAAAAACATGTCTAATTTTGGGGGGGTTTGTATGGTGGTTTCAGACTCGGCAACGCGGCAGTATACTCTCAGGACATAGCTTTTCTTTATACTGTCAAAACCCACATATTTCCCTCCACCCCTGCTCTCCTGCTGATGCTTCACCATGTACTATGCTTCCATTTAAGTCTGGTTCTCTGCCGTGAAAGTTCGAACCCCGGGAATTGGGCTCCCTCGTACACGTTTTCCGTGGCGAGCATCGAGGATGTTTACTGCGTGCTGGCATATCTTGCTCCTTGGTAGAGTAATAGAAGGTATAGGTTCAGTACTGCAGGGCAGGCAGGACATAAGGATGTAATATGTAATATCATAATCTTTGGAATGTCAGATGCCTACATTTTATAGGGCTGCGGACATGACAGTTGCCCCTTCGTACAGGTGTCAGGCATACTACTGATATCCGTCTGGTACTCTGCTTGACACTGCCGTCAGAGTCACCTACGGTCAAATCAGGAAATGTGGTCGTCCATCAAATGCACAGAACTAAAGCATTTAGCCCACAAAATCCAAGGAAATGCTACATAAACCCCCCTCGCCTCGGTGACGCCTATTTAGCCTTGTTCTGACCTCGCCGCTTCTCCTCTCTGGAGAAGATGACGCCATGTGAGAGGAGGAGATACTTGCTGAAAAAGTTCTCGGCAAAGTGGTCGAACTTTTGGTACGAGGCACCAAGACGGTAGGCGGCCGCTATGCCGCTGACGCAAGCGAGCTCGTGCATGTTCTACATTTCACCCAGGGCCTGTGTCAGCAGACGGCACCCTCTGTCAATGGTGTCAATGGGTGGGGGGGG